CAACCGCCACCCACTCCCAACCCACCAGTGACCACCATGTCACTATTGTCGTTGTCACAACTGCCACCCCATCCCCCAACCGCCACCCACTCCCAACCCACCAGTGACCACCATGTCACTATTGTCGTTGTCACAACTGCCACCCCATCCCCCAACCGCCACCCACTCCCAACCCACCAGTGACCACCATGTCACTATTGTCGTTGTCACAACTGCCACCCCATCCCCCACCCACCACCTCCACCACTGTCGTCGTCACAACTACCCTCTCCCAAGCAAAGATGGAGATACCAATTCTTTTGAGACACTCCATACGAATTCCATACAACTCCATGCCAATTTTTGAAAGTCAAATTCCTTCAATAGATTTCAATTCCACCAAACACCATTTTGCAAACCAAACACCCCCAAACACATGGTCAAATTCCATAAAACTCCATTCCAATTCTTTCAAAGTCAAATTCCTTTGATGGATTCCAATTCCATCAAACTCCATTTTGCGAACCAAACATCCCCTAAATATCAGCAATTCAAGACACTGGCTGAAAATCGCGACGGCATTAAGATGCTACGGCCACTCAAAATCTATTATTCCTCAGAGTAACAGCCATGTATGCAAATAGACTTCCAGTTTGTATCATTTATTCGATATCAAGGTCTACTTATTTTTAAAATATTCACCAACAGATACATTGAACCCACAACCTATAAGTTATAAAGTACACTTCTGTTGGGAGGGCAAGCTATTTAAGTCGCTTATCGGGGATGGTGATGCCAGTGGGCCAAATGGACACCTGCTCTTAGGTTTTAAATCTCCTAGGCATCAAAGGTTCAATGGTGGCATAATCCCAAAATCAAAAAGCCTGAAAATTATTTAAAAAGGGAAGATACAATGTGCAATACATACCTTTTTATGTCATCCACAGCTTGCTTTCGTCTTTGTATCTGAAGTTCGAGTATGTGAATCAATGTTGCTCTGGCCTGAAAAGGTGTTATGTTTGGTGTTTGAGTAAGAGCCTGTTTGTTAGCAGCTTAACGAGCTTGTAGGACTTGCAGCTTATTCGGTCAACCATAGATGACTGTTTGGTGGTGGCTTAATGATACAGAAAGTGACTTATTTAGTAATTTCTGGAGGGGAGCTATATGCAGAAAGCGAAGTTTTTTACAAACAGGCCCCTCCCAATTAAAAAGACGCTGCTTCCATCTCTGAAAAAACCATCCCAAAAGAAAAATATCCCCAATCTATACAAACAGATTAATCCACAAAGATAACTTTATCCATACAGAACTCCCCTAATTAGATTTTGAAATGAAAATGAAATACATAAAAAAGTGGAGAGAATTGTACCTGATGTGGACGTAACGAATTGAGAAGATGATGCAAATTCTTGAATATAAGAGAAATGTCTTCCACTCTCCTTGCGTATTGTGATGGCCGCTCTATTAAAACATCAGCGAGCTCTAAAATATGCAGTTGTAGTTCCCTGTTTAGTGACCTCAATTCCTTTTTGAAATCTAGAAATAGATGTGGGTGATATCAATACGCTTCCAAGAAAAATGTCTTCTAACTACTGAAAGGGAACTTATAGACATCCACTAATTTATTAGAGCATCTCCAATAGATTCTCTAAAATAGAGAAATGGATATTTTGTTCTCTATTTTGCTCCAACAGATTCTCTATATTGTTCTCTAAAATAGAGAGAACTCCAAGTTTAGAGAATTCTCTGTAACTTGATGTGAGGAGAGAGAAATGATTTTTTCATCCGGTTCCCATCAGTAAAATTAAATATTATTTATTTTATAAAAATATTGTTTGAAAAGTGTCATTGGATGATAAAATTATAGAATATTTAAATACTCCCTCTGTCCGAAAATAAGTGTTCACATTTCTATTTTAGTTTGCCCCAAAATAAGCGTCCACTTTCAAAAATAAATGTCTACTTTCACATTCTACCCTTAATTATCTAATAAAGAAAACATCTCTCCCTATTACTAAGGGTAAGACTATCCATTAGTTGATTGAAAAGTGTAATAATTACACATTCCTAAAATTGTGTGCCTTTTTCATAATGGACATTTAATGAGAGAGTAATATAATAAATGTTGAAATCTTTAAAATAATGAAGCAGTTCGAGTCGAATGTAACTCTTTTAGATATTTTAACTTTTGGTTCTTTATTTTAGAGAAACTATAGAGAATCTATTAGAGATGCTTGCAAAACAGCCCGTTTGCAAAGTGCAAAGGCATAAAGAGACTTCTTTCTTCAAACATGGCAACTAATATGAAATGCCCATGAAAATTGTAGTTCGGATATGAAGAAACTTAATGGGAAATGAGAGGATCGCATACCAACATTTGAGCCTTTTGGGTACAACTGACGAACACCCTGATCTTCCAAAGTCGGCAATACATCATCAGTCTACACAGGAAATTGATAATAATGGACGTGTTAGCATCACCAACAGACACCAAGCCAGTAGACTTTAACACCAATTTCAAGCTGTGAAAATATTGCAATAATTGTTCAAGGAAGATCCAATGCAACAGAATAAGTACTACACAAACATGAAAACATTTCAAGAAATTACTCATCAAAACCTTATGTGAACAAATGTCGGTAGATAAAGGAGAAAAAATGAAAAATTGAGGAACACACTTATAACCATTCATTTGTATGGTATGCACATGTGTGTAAAAGTAATTGAAAATGTATTCTGGTTTCTATGAACATGTGCATACAGGACTAATTACTTTTATCCACATGTGCATACCATACAAATGAATGATTATTAGGGTGTTCCTTAGTTTTCCATTTTTTGTGGTTTTCCCCTGAACCTGACCCAATGTGTCAGTATATCAAAGAACGTAATGAAAAAGTATCTGAGAATTTTCTTATCAGGAACTTTACAGTGTAATTGGCACCATATAGGAGGTAGGTCCCTTCGATAGGAGGCGGAGGTTCTGGAGCCGAGCTAGGGTTTTGTTCATAATCCTTGTACAGTCTGTAATATGGTGGAGGAGGTGGATAAGTAGCTGTTGCCATTTACGATAGTTATTCCTGAAACAGCAATGACAATCAAAACTTAAGCAAACCATAAACAAAGAAAAAACTCATTATTACACACAGAAATTGATTCATCTATTTGCTTTGAAGATAAATAACGCACAGTTCTTATTCAAAATTCAGCTTCGGTCTAAAAGGCAATGTCAAGAGCAAGATGTTAGAAGGCCAATTCCACAAGATGTATGCAACCTGACCTCTACCCCCAAAAGGGTAGAGCGGTTGTTTCCATGAGGACCCCTTGCTTGTGCAGGAGGGTGAGCAAACATGTATAATAAAACGAAGGACGAAAAGAAGTAATTAGAAAAAAACAGTGAGTAGGTACAATGATAACATACGCAAAGCCAAGGAAGCCAGCACCCACATAGAGCAGGTAAGGCCAAACAGCACATATCTGGCCTACACCCTACCAGCCCTCTATCCCCCCACCAAAAAAAACCCGTCCAACTCCCATTTGCCCAACTACGCTAGCTACAAGTCCCCAAACCTAATTCTCTACCCTAGCCCCCCGTCTCCAAGTACTCCAATCAAAGGCTGTACTCGGAAATGCCTAAACGTGCTATGTCCAACCTCAGTTTCTCATCCCACGACCTCCTTGGCATACCCCTCCTCACCCCCTCGACTGTCACTCTTTCTACTCTCCTCACAGATGTCGTCATTGGCCTCCTACGAGGGTCCCAAACCAATGCAATCTCTCATTTTCCATTTTATCTGTTACGGTGCCAACTCCCGTCTCCACCCAGAAACCCTATCTGGAATTATGTCTAACCTAGGCCGACCACATGTCACCTAAGCATCCTCATTTCTGCAACTTCCAACTTCCTCTCAATGGACTTCCTTGTGGCCCAATTTATTTACACGTTCAACATAGCAAATGCTGAACATGAACCAAAAAAGTATTGTCACAATCACTAAGCAAATCTACGGTTTCAATATCAATTATCAGATTTACGGTCAAACTAATGTTGAGTTACGAACACATTTTATAGACAATATACACCGTCAAATAGACAATAATGTTCACATAATCAAATTTCAGATCAATAGCCAGCTAACAAGAAAGTTCACAAAATAATTGGGGATTAGAGTTGAGCAAGAGGATTACTTGTAAGAGAATATATCAAGACAGTCTCCAGAGAAGACTATGAAGACACGGAGAATTAGTAGTATCTGGAGCCTTCGGGATTAGTCTACTTTTAGTAGAAGAATGGAGCAATGGCAGGGGTTTCTTTGCCGGATAAGGTAGACCTTCCATGGCAGGGGTTTATTTTAGACCAAACTCTAAAATAAGAGTTTGGCACTTACAAAGAAAATCACTATTAGTCTATTGAAACTCAGCAGCGGACTGACGATTTCGGCAGCGGATCTCCCACTGTCTGTTGGTGATTTCAGTGAACTGTCCTAGCAATTTGGCAGTGTCAAAATGAAGTATAGGCTTAAATGAACAGGGAACCTTTTCTAATGACCAGTAGCCAGTAGAAAGTCGTACCAATTAGGCAAGTACCAACATTAATCAACTAAAGGATTCCTAATTTAGTGCTAGCAATGGTTAAATAAAGGATTATAATACGAAACTTAACTAATTTCGACAACTTTAAATATGAATTTGGAAACCCTATTTTGATCTAATACACATACCTGAGCAGGAAAAAGAACTGTGGTATGTGGAGGAGGTGAGAGCGCCGAAACGTACCAGGCAGCAGCGGCGCCGGCCGCTGGGTCGTCTCGTCGAGAGGAGGAGAGGTGGTGGGGGAGGACCGGGGATGATCCGGTCGTCGTCGTCGTGGACAAGAGGTTGAGCTGTGAGCATATGTCGCAGATATGTAATGGGCTTTTATCGACATAAACTGATAAAAGCATTAACAATAAAGAGCCCAGGCCCATTGGCCCACCCTATATAGATGACCAAATTGAGGTCGGGAAAAGAAGAGATGGCCGAATAGGCCCAAGACCGACTTGAGATCAGGATCGGTTCGATAGTCTTTAATCGATTATGATTTTTAGGAAATTTCATGGTCCGATAAAATCTAGACCGAGGCTGGTTAGAGAAGGCTAAATGGACCCGGTTCGACACGGAACCGGTTTGGGACTGCCGGTTATGGCTCTATTTGTTATACATAAGCCCGATTTTTTTAAGATTAAGTTTTATAAATTATATATAAAGTTTTTTTAGTATTTCTACAATATTTTTAAACTTTTTGTTTTTTAAGTTTTTCAAAAATCATGACTATAAAAACATCTATAACATTTTTGTTTAAAAATATTTTAAAGTTTATTTAAATGACCCACTTAGGGATTTAAAGTGTATCTTCAAACAATAACTTTTACATTCAAAATTGGTTTCTGAAAGAGAAAAAATGGGATCGATTTGAGCCCGGCCCAGGACCGAAACGGGTTACAAAGCATGGAGATCTCACTTGGTATTTTGGTCCGGATCGAGATTATTATAGAAATGCAAATTGAGACTAGGACCAATTTTTGGCCATCTATAGGGACTAGTCACACTTTCTATGGAATTTTTAAGGCCTAACCCGGTCCGAACCGGTTAGTTTAGACCATATTGTAAAAACTTTTTCAAGTTTTTATCTATTTAAACTGTTCTTCAATATTAAAGTTCAAAATCATAATTATAAAAACATGTATAACATTGTTGTGTACAATGTTTTTTTAAACGGGGTCGGGTCCGGACCAGTTTGGCCCGACCCGATGGGGCTGATAACGGGCCTGGATGGGTCCTATGGTTGTTGGTTGGGACCGGCCAACTAGATTTTGGAGGGACCGATTTGGGACCGTTTTGTCTGGCCTGAAACTGATTCTTGGTCATCTCTACTATAGGTGGCTTGGCCTCTAAATGTGCACTTGGTCTCGGTTGGATGGGATTATACTGGTGAAAGCAAGGTGGACAGGTGAACAGGTTGTCAAATATTTTAGTTTTAGTAGTTTAATAATCTATATGTGTTATCTTTCTTATTCGATTTTTGCTCCACATGTGTTGGCGGGAGAAAATTTTGCATTTTTCTGTCAATTGTTCATGTATTACACAAATCTATTTGTTGCACCAAATGTGGTATAAGTTTTTGTTATGTCATGTCTCGTATTGTTTCACGCACGCGCCTAAAAAACATGGTAACCTGTAGGCATTTGTTTTATGACCCCTCGTTCCAGCATGATTTTGTAACTGATGTTAAATTCGCATTTGATGTTACCTACAGGACCAAGTTACATGCAAAGCAAGTTCCAAGTTCATGTTCCATGTTGTACATACTTGTCAGTAGATACATCAATAGGGCCTTAATCACTTGATAATTCCAAATTTTGTGAGATTCGTGAGAATTTTTCAAATAAAAGTAACAGACTTTTAACCGTGTCTTTTGAAAATATGTTTCCCAAAATATATATATTTTTCATTTTTTCATGCTTTGTAATTTAGGTACATTAATGAATTTGCAGTAGATGAACATTTGACATATTTAACATGTTTTCAGTATTTGCTTGTTTTAACATTTATATGGTAACTCTTAAAATGAAAATACAACTTGTGTATACTTTTTAGTGTCGCATATCAGATAACAACGAGAAAAAGAATAAAACTCTTTTAATCTACGGTATAATGTTTTAACGACAAGTAATACAGGTAGAAAATTGTTTATAATCCTTATACTAATTTTAGCTGAAATTTCAAATTATATAGATGACAACAATAACTAGGGTAAAATTGGCTCGATGTATGATATTTTGATGTATGAATTTGAAATGGTTATCTTTAACTTCTTGAATTATAATCAAAATCAAATAAGAAGCTTGTTAAATTTGGGGAATATATAAACATGTATAACTAACGGGTCGTTTGTCAAACACTTACTCGGCTAAGCGATTATCAAGTCACATTACCTTACTGGATGCATACGGCAAGGACCAAGAATCTTACCAGGTAAGATCGAAAACAAATACGAGAATCTTACCCAGTAAGTGAGGGTCGTCGTCTCTTACCACAATTAATGTTTACCGGATAAATTATTGCATACAATATCGTTATCGTTGACTAAAATCTTACCCGGTGAGTAAGTGCTAGTACTAAAATTTTCCGGTAATCACTTGTCCGGGTAAGTGTGTGGTAAACGACTCCTGAAACATATATCAAACAAAAATACAAGTGATTTTGATGTATGCAGTATTTGCAAATTAATTGTTAAAACCATATAGTTACCAGCCACAGCCAATAAGCTAATTATTTATAGATAAATTAGTCATGTTTTATAAAAACTATTTTGACAGTAATATAAAATAACTTCAAATGAAATACCGTAAATAAGTTATCTGGATCATATCCAAATTTAAACCCATAGTTCAATCTACTTCAAAAACTTAGATCCCGATCTTCAAAAACTTAGAACTTGATCTCGTTCAATAATCCATAACTCGAGTGGGGAGAATGGGGAGGGGCCGGAGTAACGTCAGAGTCACGATGGGTGTCTAGTGGTCGGCGAAGATTGGTTAGAAAATCATGATTTATTTGTTCATAAACACTTGATCACTCAAAATATTAAAATATATTTGATTTTTAGACATTTTTTAATGCTACCCTACTAACCAAGGGACCATTTAATTATCTCACTGTGAGCAGAGGAAGAACAAAAAAATCTTATTAAGTAAGAGATAAGACAATGATTGAGAGTCTTACCATATAAATGAAGATGGTGACTCTTAATATGAATTATTTGTTTACCTTTTAATAATTACATAAAAAGACAACATCTGAATTACTAAGTGGTGAATTTTGTTTTTAACTAAAAAAAGTTTGAATTTTAGTGGTTCTAAAAATTCTCTGAATAATTTTGTATTTTAGGCCTTCCCATACCATTCAATGTCATTATGAACAATTACCAAACAACCATATTTCATTTTATACTATATTATAAGAGCCCCTAATCATTCTGACCACTTAATTATCTTGCACCATACAAATAAACAATTGCCAATATAACCCTTTTCCCAATAAACACTTACCAAATAATAAACACTTACCGTCAATCCATTTTAATAGTCGAAAATATCATCCGATAAGATAGGTGAGAATGGTAACTATTTTCGATAAGTGTTAGGCAAACGGTTCACTTTTATAGGTTTTAGAAAGTTCAATTTTACTTTGTTAAAAAAAGTATTACTTATTAGGCGTTGTTTGACAAAAATAAACTACCTTATTTTATGAGAATATGTTTAGATGCACATAAGCTAGTTTATTAAAACGTTACTTGAAGTAACGTTTTAATAACTTATTGTCACTTTTTTCCAATTATAACCTTCATTGATATTAATTGATATTAATTACTATTATTTATAAATAAATATTAATAAAATTTAAACAATATCAATATTAATTAATATT